GCTGGCTTCTGTCCGACAGGCCAGTCTTTGTGAAGCTTGTCTGTGCAGTTATACAGACTGTCAATCTGTCCTTCCTCTTGCACACCACCGCTAACCGAGGAAGCCACTGTGGAGGGATGCCCTTGCTAGCGTCTCTTCATCTTTGTTCCCGTGGACACCAGGCTTTCGTATCACTCTCAGTCACCTGGCTGTGACTCTCTGGCTCTTGCTTTGGCATGGGCCCTCCCTCTCTTGAACACAGTCTTCTTTTCAAGTTATTTTAATCCAGCATGAAACCCACTCTACTGCACCAACTCCAGCTCACATTTCCTGATTTCTCATTAAGGAGGTGAATGGGAGAAGTGCAACCCCTCACTAGTGTCTGGGGGCGGGGGGGGGGCATCATGCTGGAGAGCTCTGTGTCTGCCCAGTCTCATGAGACATGATGACCACACGCTTCAACTATAGAGCACTCGAAATTCTACCAAGGAAGAGACATTTAAGACCAATTGAAATTAATTAAAGATAATTTTAAATGGGCACACAGCTACTGTATTATATACCATGACACCATTCTTTCTTATGAAAAGGAGGAAAGGAGAAAGGGAGGGATGAAGAGAAGGATAATTAAGTTATTTTTGGTCATGTGATGGAATGCTATTTTCCTAGTTTATCTTTACTCTGTCCTGACTCAAGTAATTGGTTATTTTACCATATAAATATATAATCCCTGAATAGCTGGTGAAGATTTCACTATCCATGGTCCCCTCAAGTTCTTAAATTTTTTAATAATTTCATGTATGAATATTGTTCTTATGTCATTTTATCTCTCCTTTTCCTCTTTCCAATCCATCCAGTACCCTGCTCTGCCAATTTATGACCTCTTTAATTATTATTGTTACATACACACACATCCCACCCTAATAAATATATAAATACAACCTACTGAGTCCATTTAGTTTTGCTCCTACATATCTGTGTTTAGGGGTGATCACTAGGTATTTTGTAACCAACCAGGGAGCTCATCCCAGGGGAAGGCTGATTCTCCCTCTCTCATTTATCAATTAATGACCCCTGGAGTTTGTTAAAATACAGATTCACGGGCCCCAGAAATTGTGTTGAGAAGTCTGCAAGCGTTTGGTATCCCAGAATGTGAGGTGCCTACTTTCAGAGGGTGTGGCATCAGCACACTGGGTCATGAAGAGAATATGGCTAATAAGCAAAATACCAAATAAAACAAAACCCTTGATCCTATTCAATGAAAGTTCCTCAAGCAATTAACGCTAATCTCTTTACCTACCAGATCACTGTTAGGAACTAACTGTTTACTGACTGCGGTAAGCATATCGAGAGTAACCACGGCTTCATTGCCATGTAATCCTTAAATAATGTGGACTCAGAATGATAACATGCGGAAACAGAAGATCACCAAAGTTTGCAGAGTTAACCACTTGCAATTGGACCAAACAGTATTACTTCACACACTAGACAAGCTATTTTAAGTTTACAATGAGTTTAATGAAGTATAAAGACCAACTGATTCACTGAAAAGGAATCTCTTATCTCTATATTTTGTAAAAGTAGACAGTGACACACACTTTCTATGCCAATTTTGAATGACTGAAAAATGAAGCTCAGCACAGGCTTATGGTCAGTATCACCTTATGCAAATATAAGTGTTACTAATGGATGTGAGTATTCAATACTGTCCCTGGTATTCTCCTAAAGGAACATTTTCTATGTGCATTTGGGACTCCCTTAGATTTTACTCAACTCTTCGATGGTGACCAAGTGAGTGGGAACAAGCTATGAACCAGCTGGGGGATTTCTCTAGAGAATAAAAAAGTGTAGGGAACTCAGGGCTTCCATCAACACTGGCAGATATCCCTATTCTTAACCCAGGCACTTGCAATTTTCTTTTCATTTAATTTTGCTACAAGACTCTAAAACCCAAATTGCTTTCTTCTGCAAAGCAAAATGCATCTCATTAGCTTTCCCACTAAGGCCAATTTATGTAAATCCAACATTATTAACTAAATAATTGAAGTGACCTTAGTTTGCAAGGGAAGAAATAATGTGGCATTGAGGTATAGGAGAAATATTAGGACTTGAAGCATTCCTGCCTGCCCAGGCCCTTTCATTTCAAAAACAGCACGGCACAATGCAAGTTCCACACTGAGAGCCCTGCTCATCACCAGAGGGAGGGGCTAAAACTCTAGCCTGGACTCAGGCTCCCTCAGCCCCTAGGCTCGTCCCCTCCTTCTCCTTCCCAATCACTATGGGTATTATAAAAACTGAGATATTACAGTGAAATTTAATAATGCCACAGACTGCTCTGAACAGGTGACAAACAAATAAAAAATCAGAAAACCAAAGACTAGAGGATTCTATCTTTTTTTTTCTGAGAATCATTTACTAACGTGGCTTTTAGCTTCATAATGTCTCTAGTTTGAAATTCATTTACTGGTCAGAAAAAACGCCATGCCATGTGCTGTAGGGACCAATAAACAGGCTATGTTATTTGATCTCTAACATGGGAATATTTGGTAGTTTAACTTTCAAAAGTAAGAAACTAAGATGATTTCTTTTTCTGTTGACAGAAACATGTTAGAATCCAGCTTTCCTGCAGCTTTTCTGAAAAGAATTGAGATCTTTCTTTAGTGGCCTACTGACTCAGATGTGATAGCTGGAGTAACAGTAATACTGAAGCCTTCAAAGTCGACGTGATAAGGACAACACGCACAGGGAAAACATTTGTATTGTTATCAAACACTTCTAGAGAGAATCATCCACTGAAGCTCTGACTCTGGATCCAGTATAAGGAAGCACACTGCAAGCCTTATGAGCACTGCAGGCTGCAGTCTCAAGCACCTTTGTAAACCTCTTTGCAACTAGCAAGTTTTAATCTTTCTGGGCAATGCTCTGCCCAGTCAGCTCTTGATTGTACAAGAATAAGCTGATCTTAAACAAATCATTGCAGCTTTGACTGTGTAGATCGGAGCATTCAGAAGAGCCAAGAACAAAGGACACACACGGTCCTGTGATGGAAACTCAGGTTTGCTTGTGTGTGTGAATCAAGGAAACAGCCCACTTCCTGTTCTCATTCCACCAAATCAGCTAAGGAGTTTGTAACTTGGGAGCTAAATGCTTTTAAATGTGCATGCTACATACAACTTTCATGAACGAATCAAACCATTCTCAGAAACACGAGGCTCCTGGTCAGAAACTGGTCAGAATCATAGCCCCAGTCTATCTGACCAGTTGCTACTGGGAGTGGGTCCCGGATGCCACTGAGGTCAAGTTCCCTTTAGGTAACCACCCACCCAGTGGCCCAAAGGGAGAGCTGTACTCTCCTGTGGAGATGCAGATTTAAGAGCAGTAGCTCCTGATCAGCCTTTACAAGCTGTATTTTAACTAGGAATCTATTTTTTTACCCCTTCCAAATCAACATAAATCTCTACTGTGTTCTAGGCCAGCAAAATGAAACTCCATGCTGAGAGCATGAAAAGCTGAGTTCTGAAATCGCTGACAGGTTTTTCCCAGGGCTGGGTGTACATTTGAATTTGCAGTCTTTGCCATCTGCCCACTTAGTTTCTTACCAAATTTCCAAAAAGGAGAAATCCAGGCCATTCCCCAGAACACATGAAAAACAAAAACAAAAAACAAAAAACCAAGCATGGCATACTTGTAATCTTAATGCTAGGGAGGCAGAGACAGGAGGATCTCTGAGGTTTGCTGGACAGCTGGTCTATCTGAATCAGAGAGTTCCAGGTTCAGTGAAAGACCCTGTCTTAAAAAATAAGGTGGACAGAGATTGAGGGAGGCACTTGATATAAATCTCCGGCTGATACTCCTCTTTCCACCCCCCACAGACACACACATGAACAGTTCTTATTGTACACATCATTCAGCTCACTCCACTCGACAGTTATGGAACACAGAGAAGAAATGAACATGCTTTATAGAAACCAGCACAAAAAAGGCTTCCTCACAAGGGAAGTTCATTCTCCATTTGCTTAGGAGCCAGATGTGGGCGGTGGTGATGCACACCTTTAATCCCAACACTCAGGAGGCAGAGGAAGGTGGATCTCTGAGTTTGAGGCCAGCCTGGTCTACAGAGGGAGTTCCAGGACAGCTAGTGCTACACAGAAACCTTTACTTGAAATAACAAACAAACAAACAAACAAACAAACAGGGTGAGATGTCACAGAAATCCAGACATTGCTTTCGGGTAACCGAGAAAGACACAGCCTTCAGACATTGCTGTCTTACACTTGTCACTGGGCATGTGCGATGACTTGATAGAATGACATGCCTGGACATCACCAAGGTTGTTTACAGTTCCTACCTGCAAAACAGTAGAGGTCGAAGAGCTAAACTGTAAAACCCAAGACTTTACCATGACAAGTCTGCCAGAGCCAGAGAGGAGTCAGAAACCCGGAGGGCCCAATGGCCAGCTTATCTTAAAATGGGGACTGGGCATTCTCTCTTATCACACATAAAATCTTCTGATGGGACAGAAGTGGAGAATTGTAGGAGTTGCCAATAATTCATGAGAAGCTAGAAATCTAGACTTTTATGTGAAATATCCTAATTTAAAATGACAGCAAATAATTAAAAAACAAATATTGCCCCCAAAACAGCAACAACACCACCAACAAAAAACCAACCAACCAAACAAAAAAACAGGTCTGTGGTTTAGGTGCAGCTCAAAGTGGAGCATTCCTAACTTCAATGATGAATTCAAGAGCAGTTAAGACAGATGCCCAAGACTCAGTGGTTTGCATGTGACTGCATCACTAACTACATGATGCAGCGGAACTTTGCTTAGAGCCTAGGAGGTGCCGGAAAACACTGAAATTCCTGATTGTCCTCTACCGCAGCAGAATGTTTGATAAATGCCAGAATAGCCCATGTGACTCAAGACAGTTTTCGGGGAAATGAGGCTGAAATGTTTCAGTGAGTAGGTCTACTCCACGTCTATTATGAACATTGCTTCCCAGTTAAGCAGGGCCCCTTACCTGTGCTCTCCCGAGAATGCCAGGCCAGTCAGTGCTTGGTGTTCGACAGACTTTTGCCATAACTACTGTTTTTTCCAAAGGCCCTCATACTCTCTCCAGCTTCAGGTTGCAATCTCACATTTGGGACGGTAAAAATAGAAGACACTGGAGAGAGAACGAAAAAGTTCTGCTTACATCGCTATACACATGTTGACAACATTTTATTTAAAAAGAAAATGGAGATTGCAAAGCAGTCTGCATGTCCAGCATGTGGAACACTGTGGTATGTGTTGGCGTTTGAAATGCCAGTGGTCAAATGCGCACACACAGCTATATATATTCCATGCGGCATACACACGTGTACACACACACACACACACACACACACACACACACACACACACACACTTGCACGAGACAAGTCACTCATGACAGGAGTAGTTTTTTACTCTCACTTTTCCTGGGAATTGCAGAATCCTGCATCACGCACATCAGAGTAGAAGGAAATGCTTGCCTTGGGACCTTCTGACTGGGGGAGACAAAATAAACAACCAAATCAATCTAATATTAACGGTAAAAGTTACGAAGAAGTAGAGAAGGAAAACTGGAGGTTGGAGGGAGAAGGTCAGAGCCGTCCCAGGTAGAGAAGGACTGTTTGATCAGCCACGTGCAGGAGAGGGCAGGTAAACCTGAGGAAAGCCACCTCAAAAATACGTGAAGAGGAAAAGCCAGAGCTGACTCTAGGAAGGCAAAAGAAGGGGCCAAACCAGCTAGACTGCCGTCGTGAACACTGGGGGAGAGTGACAAGTGAGCAGAGGACTGAGTGACTCTGTGGAAGTGTGAGACAAAAGCAGAGGACACAAAGATCACCCAGAAAGACGGTGCCGCCATTTATTCTCAAGGGCAGTTCAGAAGGAGCAAGTCGGGATGAAAGGTTATGAGTCTGAGTCTATTAATTCTAAATTTTCAGCGTCTATGACTGAATATGAGACTCAGGGGTGCTGGGACGAGGCACGGGACCTTAGGAGCTGTGTTTGGATGATATTGAAATCTCGAGACTGGATGGAATTACCCAGCTCTGGGAAGTGAGCCAGACAGGAAGGTCCGGGGAGGATGCACCGGAACACTGACCGTGTGCCTTCACGCCGGCCTGGCAGGAGAGAAGAGTTTGCAAAGGGAAGTTCTAGGAGGTGAAAGTAAACCCTGAAGGAATCTTGTCCAGGAAACCAAGTGAAGGAAGTGTTAGCAGGAAGAGATGGCAGACAACCATGTTCAATTCCGCTGACAGGTCAAGGTGACAGCCAGGAAAACCCCCAAAGACAGCAAGAGTTATGGCTGCCTAGGTGGGAAACATTCAAGACACAACAGGAAAAGGAAGCAGCAAAGCTGTTTAAAATGGGTGTACTGGCCAGCCAGCACGGCGATGCAAGAGCTTCATCCCAGCACTAGGAGGGCTGAGGCAGGCAGGGAGCTCTATGAGTTCAAGGTCAGTCTATATAGTGAAACCTTGTCTCAAAATAAATACATTTATTAATTAATAAAATAAAAAATTGGTGTGCTTTCTACATTCATAAGAGGATGGCAATGATACTACATAATAGCATATTATGTTACGTTGTAAAGGTGCTATAGAGGGCCATGAGGGTAAAGCTACAAATATTAGATCTGAAAAGGTCCTTCAGGACTACCATGCTGTCCTCAGTTTGCTCTCCGAATCAGAAGTTGGAAGCACAGAGGGATGAAGGCAAAGGTCCACAGTTGCCTGGCCAGGACCTGTGGAGCTGAGCTTACAGTCTGGGGGTCTGGTTCCCAGCTCTGAGATCACCACACTGGACCAATTTGCTGGCCTTCTTTTAGGAGATTTGAGTTTTATAAATTAGCAAATGAATGTAATAAAATCAAGGACTCTGTGCTGTGAAGTATATTTTGTTCATTTACTTTGACAAGGATAGTTCAGCTTCAATTATTTATGTAACTTGATAGTATACACAGGAGAATGCCCCATGGTGTGCTTGGGGAAAGTAATGAATTTCTTCTAAATCAACCCTCTATTTATTTCCTGCAATTAAATCTCTGTGAAGAAGTAGAGCAAGGCTGTTGGGGTTTGGGAATATGAGGGAAATGACACTGTCACCATCCTCGGTCAGCTTTAACTGCCAGACAGATCCCTAGGTAATCGTACAATTACTTTTGCTTGATGTGTTTATTCTGTTTCCTACTTTGGTGACACAGATACTTCACCTCTGCATTTTCTTATTACATAACTACAATAAATGTTCGAATGTACTTCAGTGACTATTTGAGAAGTCAGCTGAGTTTTCTCACACCACCATCAGGGCTTGGCCAACCACAGCACATGGTCACTTAGACACTTCCTACCTGGTGAATCCAGATCAGCCTTATAAGCCATATTATCTGCTCTCTGGTGGTTATTTCCCTATGAGGCCCAACCAGCTCCACTGATTTCATTGATTTCCACACCCATGTAGACTGTACACCCATGGGGTCTGATTAATCAAAGCACGAGCACGTCAAGGCTGGAGACCAATATTCCCCTTTTAACTTGACTTCACTTTCTGCCTCAAGTATCTATCTATCTATCTATCTATCTATCTATCTATCTATCTATCTATCTATCTATTCTGTGGGCATTCCTCTAAAAAGTGCTATGAGCCTTCACAGACTAAGAGCTTTGTGGCATGAATTGTGTCCCATTCCAAGCTGATGTTAGTGCCCCAGCCTCACTGTGTTGGTGTCAGGGAATGGGACCTTTGGGAGTGATGAGGCTTAGGTGAGCTCAGGAAGTGGGTGGTCCTCATGAAGGGATTAGTAGCTTTATAAGAAGAAGAACAGAGAAATGTTTTCTCTGCTCTGTGATGACCAAGCAGCGTGGGCCTCTGCCAGTCGTGAGGACAGCCTTTACCAGGATCAGAATCAGCCAGCACCTGCATCTTCAATTGTCATCCCTGGAACTATGAGAATAAATATCTATCGTCTCAGCCTCCCACCCTAAGCTATTTCCTCCTGACAATGGGAGTTGAGCAGGGCATCGAGGTGCTGCCTGGCAGTGGTGGGCCAGCACCACCACTTGTGGACACATCCTTCTGTTGGTGCTCAGTACTTCCTTGGAATTCCCTTGAAAGGGAAGGCATGAGGGTTCTGTTGCTGCCACACATTCTGCCTTTTGCCAGACAGTGAATTTTACAAAAATCTGCACTAATCTGGAGTTCAATTTGAAGAATCTTGAGAATTTCTGAGTACAGTCAGCCGAATGCTAACTCAGACAAGAGTCACACAGCCTAATTCCCAAAGTCACAGAAGTCTGGGGATTCTTTGTTTTGCAAACATGTTTACAAGGGCAGCCACGTTGTTCTAAATGGAAATGACTATAGTATTTAATACTGGGATTGTCCTTTCTTGCGAATGGATTTATCCTTCATAATGATTATCTTCTAGACACAGAAATAGCATTTCTGTAACTCAAAATTGTTACCGGAGGCATTTAGTAGAATCTCGCTTTAAAAATATAATGATTTTTCATCTTTATTCTCCCCCCTTCAAAAGGTTTCACTGCTCCTGATGTTTAACGTTATGCAGAGACGTGTTTCTGCCAATGAATATCGCCTTATGGTTATGCTTCTGCAAATAGCCTGCTGTGAGCTGATAAAGGGATTAATGCAGCCAAAATTCTTAATCTGTGAAATTACAAATTAAATTCTCATATTAAAAATACCACCCTGAGGTATTTTTTGTGGTTTTAATTCCCCTCTGGTGTTCTGCATACATTGTACTTGTTAATGACGGAGACAAGGCTGTCTCGGTTGGCAGTCTGTTGCTCAGTGATAATGTGTAGGCATTTACTCCCTAACAGAAACTGGATTTAACCACTGGCTGATAAACTAAGTGGCAAGTGGGTAATAAGTCCATATTAACAGGAAAGTACTACTACAGAATTCAGAATTCATAGACCCTCAAAATCTGGCTTAAACTCAGTCATCAAGTCGACTGGGATTGAGATGTTGCCAAGGAGGGGTGAGATCAAGGTGCAAGTTAGACTGCATGGGAGAACAAACCCCAGGTGAGAAGTTCAGGGAGCCATAGACTAATACCCCCTTTGTACTTTTTGTTTTTTCCAGTATAGGGGTATGCATGATCCATTCATTGTTTTGTTTTGTTTTTTCACAGGTTTTAATTTCTTTTAAAGTTTGGAATCACTGCTATAATAGGTGGTCGATCTTCAGAAAGGAAGTAAGATGGATGATAAAGGAAATATAGACTTGGAATAATTGAGATATTAACGAAGACCTGTAAGCATAAGGAAAGTGTCAGATCAATAACATCTATAGTTACCTTAGGGCAACAAGAAAATGGATAGAAATAAGTGATATCTACCTATCTACCCACATAGATAGTATATATACATATTTTACATATGTATATATATATATGTATAAAATGTAGGTTAAGAAGGCTCAAGGGAGTTGGATTTAGTTCCAAAATAAAGGGTGACTGTGACTCTTGCTATAGAGAATCCAATACTGCAGGGATAATCAAAAACTCCTAGAGACAAAGGAAGTAACTTCATGTCTACTCTAAGTGATGTATGTACAAGAATTAATAAGTGCATTATAAATATTTATGCATCTATGCAGTATGCTATTTTTAAGGCAATCAGGAAAATATGTTAAGAAATATCTCTAATGGGTCTTTGGAAAGAACATATCACCACTGAATAAAAATATTCCTACTGCTGCCACAGTGTTTTTCAAAATTTCACAAGCATTCTGTTTCACACTTGGGAAGAAAGCTGAGATCCACCCAGCCATAAATCCTTCCCCAAATACTTTAAATGTAATTGAAGAAGCCTGTGCAAATATGAGCAGTTCTGTAAAAACAAAACAAAACCCACCCAGGAATGGTTTTGTTTTAAAAAGATCTAGAGAAGAGCTGTCTGTACAAATACAACGAGCATGTGTCGTTAAAATGAATTGCATGTCTTCAGTTCTTACATGTCAGCTCAGTGCATTAGCCGATTGCCAGCTCTGTTCTCCAGCTCACTGCCTAACCGTGCTCTTTAAGGCTATTGTCACAACCAAGATGGCCTCTGAAAATCAAACAGAAATGAATCATTTTTCCTCTGTGTACTGTAGCCAGTTAAAATAGCACTGTATGCAGAAAGCACTAAATATGTAAATCATATTTTCCTTTGCCTTTATGACTGCTCAGATCATTTTTTGGACACACACATAATCAAATACAAAGACGTGCAGCTGCAGACTGCAGAGTAGAGATAGCAAAAAATGAATCCATTTTCTTTCTGTGTCTGGTAAGCTAGCAATTGAATGGCAGGACTCCAATAAATATATATACACAGGATCTCTCTCTCTCTCTCTCTCTCTCTCTCTCTCTCTCTCTCTCTCTCTCTCTCTCTCTCACACACACACACACACACACACACACACACACACACACACACACATACACACACTCATAACACACACACATACATAACCTTATGTTTATGCACACATGAAAGCGCCCATCTGTCTATATGCATGCTACATATTGATGACAAAGTGCTTTGATTGGACGCTACAGATGTGTCCTACTCACTATCAGTCAGCTCCCATAGCCGCGGGGGGAGATCGCTGAAATACTCGTGGCTCAAGGCGGCCTGTGCAGACAGCCTGTTCTTTGGGGAACACTGTAGAAGCTTGGAAGCCAGATCTTCGGCATGGTTTACATAGCTGAGCCTAAAAACACAGGTAGAAACAGAGAAGTCAGACCAAAGAAGAAACCCACTAAACAGGACCTCAGGCTTATGCCATGTTTTATGTACTTGAGGTGACTCCTGGCCAGAAAAACAACTTCAATTACCTGCTGAAATAAACACACCAACTGCATATGGGTCCTTCCAGTATCTGTTACATTAAACTGACCTTTTTCTCTGTATAGCCTAAGTATTGTTGACTGAGAATATTTTGACTGTAAGCAAAGTACTGATTATTTCAGAATGGATAAAAGTGAGTCCAGGAGTAGAAAATTAGAGAAGGCAGTTTATCAAGTCGCTGCCAGCACTTACTCAGAGAATCTTTGTACAGCATGCACATATGGATGCATTTATAGGAAATTAATACCAAATAACTAGGAGAATTAAAATAGAGCTGCTATTAAATTCTCTAGTTACTAAAATGACTTTTCCTCGAAGAATTCATATTTTCTTGCCTGAACTATAGAATTACTGAAGCGAGTGTCCTGCCAAATGCCAGCCACTCTCTGATACGAGCCTCCAGGTTAACAAACAGATATGCCTAAATGATATGGGGCAGAATCAATTCAAGATGACCTTTAAAACAACAGTAGACAGAGGATATGTGTCTCAAGATTATTGGAGAAAAGGATAGAAGCACAGCCTTTGATGTGGTATAAGCCTTCCAACGGGTGGCAGCCATGCTCAGTCAGCCCAGCTTTGCTTTCCATGGAAACTATTCTGCTGGTCAGAGCAATCAGACATGGATAATTAACATAACACTGATGATACCCCCTTACAGAGAGGAGAACATATGTCAGGCACTTTCCCATTCTCGTATTTACAGCCCAACAAGGAAACCACCCCCATTTGACAGTGTGGAGAGTAGGTAGGAAATGGTGGTGGAATGCTCAGTGAAGCAATCCATGTTCTCCAAAGGCTTTTAGCCACGGATCCCTGTGTTTCTAACTGCACTGACTTTCAGAGGCAGCCAGGCGAGGCTCAGGGCCAAGTTGCTTTCGGAATATTTTTCAAAGTCTTGAAGGTGCCAAGCATGCCATTAGCAGAGAGATGCCCTTCCCTAAGCACTAGCATGGCTCTGAAGTATCTCTGTGGTCAGAAGGCGAAGCTGCTAGGAGGGGGCTGTGGAAGGGGACAGGGGGTGATAGATGTCGGAGAGCAAACAGCAGGACATGACAGCTCTATGCGACCTCGCTAAACCTTCCTATCCGGAGGTTTCAGGAATGGATCTGCTGCTGCAATGGCTGTTCGTTTGTCTCTTTGTTTCTTTCATTTACAGATAGATCCTTGGACTGGTTTTAAGTGTCTTTGGCTGAGAGACATTTGCCCGTAAGAAAAGGAGGCATTCTTTTTTTTTTTTTTTTTTTTTTTTTTAATTTATTTTGCAATACAATTCAGTTCTACATATCGGTCACGGATTCCCTTGTTCTCCCCCCCTCCCGTCCCCCTCACCTTCCCCCCAACGCCCCCCCCCCCCCCATTCCCATCTCCTCCAGGGCAAAGCCTTCCCCACAGACTGAGGTCAACCTGGTAGACTCAGTCCAGGTAGGTCTAGTCCCCTCCTCCCAGGCCGAGCCAAACAATCCTGCATAGGCCCCAGGTTTCAAACAGCCAACTCATGCAATGAGCACAAGATCTGGTCCCACTGCCTGGATGCCTCCCAAACAGATCAAGCCAATCAACTGTCTCACCCATTCGGAGGGCCTGATCCAGTGTGGACCCCTCAGCCATTGGTTCATAGTTCATATGTTTCCATTCATTTGGCTATTTGTCCCTGTGCTTTATCCAACCTTGGTCTCAACAATTCTCGCTCATATAAACCCTCCTCATTCTCGTTAATTGGACTCCCAGAGATCCACCCAGGGCCTAGTCATGGATCTCTGCATCCAGATCCCTCAGTAGTTGGATGAGGTTTCTAGCACAACAATTAGGGTGTTTGGCCATCCCATCACCAGAGTAGGTCAGTTCGGGCTGTCTCTCGACCATTGCCAGCAGTCTGTTGTGTGGGTATCTTTGTGGATTTCTGTGGGCCTCTCTAGCACTTTGCTTCTTCCTGTTCTCATGTGGTCTTCATTTACCATGGTCTCCTATTCCTTGTTCTCCCTCTCTGTTGTTGATCCAGCTGGGATCTCCCGCTCCCCCAAGCTCTCTTTCCCTCGACCCTCGCCTTTCATTACCCCCACTCATGTCCAGGCTGTTCATGCAGATCTCATTCCATTTCTCTGTCATTGGGCGATCCCTGTGTCTTTCTTGGGGTCCTGTTTTCCGGGTAGCCTCCCTGGTGATGTGAGTAGCAGACAAGTCATCCTTGTTTCATGTCTAGTATCCTGCTATGAGTGAGTACATACCATGTTTGTCTTTCTGAGTCTGGGTTACCTCACTCAGGATGATTTTTTCTAGATAAAAGGAGGCATTCTTAAAGCCCTTCTTCTCCCCCTTACAGACAGTCCAAGTCACCAACCTGTATCTTCCTGTCTCAAGACCTTCTCATGCTTACAAAGTTGCCATTAATATTTCTAAAAGTCAAGTCTGAAATAGACAGACTTCGCAATCAAGACACAATTTTATTGAAAGTACTGTTTACATGTTACCACAGCAAACATTCCATTCGCATCAATTTTATATCACTTTGATAAAATATAGCAATCAAGCCACATTGGAATCAGATCTGAGTTTGGGGCCTGACACAATTTCGTACAAATCAAATAAATAACATTTATTAAAAGAAGAAAGAATGCTGTCAATTACCCCAAACCCTATGTTACTATATTTTGTATACATAAACTGGTGATAACAATATTTGGTATGCCAGTAGCCAACACTAAATTCATGACTGTAAATGTGTAAAATATAGAGCAATGCACACCATTTCTTCCTCTTTCTGGTTTTCTAAGATAGGATCTCATTTTGCAGTCCAGGCTGGTTTGTCATTCACTTATGCAGCCAATGCTGGTCTTGAACTCATGATCATCCTCCTGCTTCAGCTTCCCAAAGTGCTGAGATTACATTACATGAGACATGAACTACCATGACTGGCTTCACACATGATTTCTGATCTTAATGATCTCATCTAAGGAATAAAATGGATGAGCCATGTGAGTTGGCAGTCCCCCACTTCCGAGAGCTCTATGTAGTACTTGAGTATGGCTTACTGCTGTGGAGAATTATGTGCTGACAATTGTGCCTTTGTTTTTGCAGAAGATTGTTGATTACATTTAGATATGATGAATTGTACCTAAATGTAAGGAATACACACATTTAAGACAATCTCATTCTTCCCATCTAAGTTGACTGTATTTTTAATAATGTCTATGAAATAAATTTTGGTTGTGATATCAAACTTATGCACGAAGTTAAATGCATAAGTAAAATTCTGGCATGGACATTTTATTACTTTCTCTATTGTATTTCAAGAGTAGGCTGTGTCCCAGTTTTCCCTATGCATTTTTAGTACCACAGGTTTGGTCACTGGCTCTTCTGGGTTGTGTGGGAGATCATTCTTTGGGGAATAAGTTTTACCTGAAGCCATCTGTTTACCTTATCAGAGTGTTATGACTGTGGCTATTGATCTTCTATTATGATGGCATATTTTTCATATCTTCCTACAAACCCTTAATTTTTTTATTTTATGCTGTACAAGGCTGGTTATTAAATGTATAACATTCTAGCAATGTTACACCTCACACATAAAGTAAGACTTTCAGCCTCATATGATTTTTTTTCTACATTTAATTAAGACATTCTAAGCTACAGTTACATTTTCCTCTCATTAATTTAATGACTGCATGTGCCTTCGGATTAGTAATCTCTGACACCTTCTGTGATCTGCCTACTTTTTATATATATATTATACAGCTAGGCTTAGATTTCATGCACTCAAGCAATACCTGTGTTTTAAGAAGAGTTTAGTCCATTCATATTTTTTTGTTTTAAGAAGAGTTTAATCCATTCATATTTTTTAAAGTATTGGTAAATTTAAAATTGCTGCTGTCAGGGTAATTTTGCATTGAATCTTATCTTCCTATGCCTTTTTCTTTTCCTACCTTCTTTCAAATTGAATTTGAAAATTCAGCGTCTTCTACCCTCTGCTTTATTGTGATATAAAATATTTAAATGCTCTTCTGTGTACTAGTGGTTACTCTCATCTCTTTTTCTCTTTAAAAAAAAAGTGCCATTATTTCCTCAGATGTTTAAGATACTGCAGTAAATTTTCATAAGATGAAAAATACCAAAGAACCTGACTATAACCACACATCTGTGACTGAAGTGACATCAGTATATGTTACAATTTTATTGATTATGTAATTTATAAAATATATCAAGTTATGCAGATCTTCTGGCATATAAAGTATTAAATGTATTCTTAATTCATTAGCAGAATCTCCTCTTTTTTACAAATGAGGTTGTAAAGAGAAGAAAAGAAAGCACATTTGCCACAAAGATATTTGGCAAACAACTTTCAATAGGTATGAAAAATATTTCATAGAACTTAATAATTTTTTTATGGTTAAGAATTATGCTGGTTGTGGTGACACATCCCATGGAGGGCAGGCTATACCAAAGAGGCAGAGGCAGGAGCACAAGGCCAGCCTGAGCTATACTTTAAAAACAAGCTGGGTATGGGGGTACACATTTTTAATCCCAGTAGTTGAGAGGCAGAGGTAGGTAGATCTCTGTGGGTTGGAGGCAAGCCTGGTCTCTATGTGAGTTCCAGGCAGGCCAGGTGAAATCCTGTTTCAAAACAAATACATACAACCACTGAATATGCCCACCTTTAGAAAACACTTAAAACTCAAAGTCATATGTCCTGGAAAATCAAATATATTTTGCTAAAAATACTTAGTAACTCACTCCAACTCTTTCTTCAGCCCCAAAGGGCAAACATTACACGAATTTATATTTTTTTTGCCTGAAATAGTAAATAATAATGTGGACTTAACATGAACTTTTAACTAGAGATTTGTGATTTTTCAAAATAGTGGT